CATAAAGTTTTGGCTAGAAATTTATAATATTTATGTTGCCAATGAGTACGGTTAGAATTTTTATATTTATTCTGCCAATCAATGTGTCTGGGAATAGGATAATGTGAGTGATAATCACAATTATAATTCGTTGATTTGCTTATTTTTGGAACTTGAAAGTGTGGAATGAAATTTCGAGTTCGTTAATATTAACGTTTTCCCAGTTGGGTTTTATGTTTGGGGAAGAGAAAGTTATAAATTCAAATTTGATTGGTTTGGTTTGCCATTAACGAATTATGGCATGAAATTCTGATATTTTGTTAGTCACGTTAGTCATGACTTGAACTTTGGTTTTTGATTTTGTTAATGTGAGAGAAAATAATTGGACCACTACTAGTTTCAAAAGATTTATTGGTGCTCCATTTTCTGCACAAATTGTTGCCTCTTGACATATCAGAGTGGATTACGTGATGTCATGATCAATTTGGGTGCATGGAATCCCACAAGCCTTATGCTCTTTTACTCCTTTTTATTTTCTTCTCAACATGAAGGATATTTGACTTTTTAGTCAAATATAAATTACATAAATGAAGATTTAAACTTGAATGTGGAAAGAAGAATATTGGCTCCAATCAATGTGATTGTGCTTGCATGTGCATTGTTTGGATTTTGCTATGAGTAATTAAGTAAATTGAGGAAATGAAGGAAATCAGGGAATGAGATTTTGATTTCATTCCATGGTAACGGAAATTGCGGATCTTTATTTTAATATAGTGGTGAGTAATGATGGTTGAAATTCCAATGATTTTGGTTGGAATTTTTGCTAGTTGATTTTAGTGGTTTGGCTTGAAATTGTGATATTTATTTGGCCATTGACGTTTACAGCTAGAATTTACGATATTTTTTCTTTCAATGTATGTGGTTAGAAGTTCTGGTATTTTTACGATATTTTTTCTTTCAATGTATGTGGTTAGAAGTTCTGGTATTTTTACTTATCAAAGAATGCAGTTGGAAAGCTGAGAAAATGTGTGGGAACACGATGAATTCTTCATTGAGTATTTATTTCTAACTTGAATAAAATCGTAATATTTTTCACCATAAAAGAAATGGTGGAAATAGTGCTTGTACATTCTTGTAACTTGACAGTTGAAATCTCGGGGACAAGATTTATTTTAACGGGGGATGAATGTAATACCCTGGAAATTTAAATATATGAATTATATATTCATAATTATGAATATGTGGAGAAAATCAAAAATAAATTGATTTATGGTTATGGAAATAGAATTGGGAAATTTTAAAGTTTTATTTCTAGGAATTGTTTTATAATTTACGTCGGTTTTTCTTTGTCGATAAGTGAAATGACGGAAATGCCCTAGTTGGCTAAAAGTAATTTACGAGGATGTATTTTGTCGGATTTCTTGGCATATTTGGATAAAGAACGACCCTACGAGCGCGTAGGCGAAAACTGTTCGTGAAATAGAATTATAATGAACGAAATAGAAACGAACGAAGATAGGGGAAAAATAGTCCTTTTGCCTTGAAATCTAGAATGCTCCAAATTTTGCTGGAGTTTTGTGTAGATAAGCCACGTAGTAGCTGTGGTTTTGGGGGGGGGGTCGTTGGAAAAGAGAAAGAGAAGAGAAAAGAAAGGAAAAGAAAAAAAAGGGAGATGCCGAATGGAGAGAGAGGAAAGGAGAGAAAGGAGGGAAGAGAGAAAGGGGAGAGGGAAGCCCAGCGGGCCGGGTCACAGGCAGACCCACGAACCCGATGGCAACCTGACGGAAATTGTTGATCTCTGCCTCTAATTCCGGCCGTTTTCTGGGGCATTTCAATGGGAAAAGACTTAGAAGCATATCCCAAATCCTTTCTCTTCCTTTTTCACAAAGATTTTAGGGGAAATAGCCACGATTTCTTCTAGAACAAACCGGCGGGTTTAATGGTTGCACGATGGAAATTAGCCATTTTTGAAAGGTATTCCATCAATTACAACTACCAGCAGGCTCCCCTCAACCTCAGGAACAAATCCCAATCATTGGTTAGGGCGTCGGGAATGTTTTGGAGGCGAATCAAGAACACTCAAATTTTAGGGTTCTGGCGGTTCGTAGCCAAATTCAGTTGTTTTCCGGCCGAATTAGACTTCGGCCCAGGTATAAAAGTTGTTCACCTTGATTTGCTCTATATTTTTGTAAAATTTGAGAATTTTTAGAAATAATTGAATTTTCTAGAGAGTCAGGGCGGCCGACCGCCACCCACGGCAGCAGGTGCAGCGGCGCACGGCCAGGGAGCCAACGTTGTGTGTTTATGCAAATTTCGTTATTCTAATTATGTTTTTGAGATCTAACTGCTGTGGGTTGAATGATAATACCATTGTGGTATATGTTGAATTTAAATGTATATATTCAGATTTGGATTGAATTTTGGAAATGTGAACTACGAATGGCTTGATCTTTGTTTAGGGTACGTAGGCAGTCTAACGAGACGTTAGATGCATCCATAACATAAGTGAGATTAAATAATCAAAAATTACATTTTAGTTGAGGATTATTCTTAGATTAGAAAATTGATCTAAGAGAAGTAAGGTTATAGAACTTGCGAATTTAAGGAACTTAAATTTAAAGTCATGAAAATTGTCGGCTAAATAAACAAGAGTTTAGTTTGGGCTTATCAGTAATATTATGATTTCCTGAAATAAATATTTCGGGGCCGGGGCGTGATAGACTGATAGCCTAAGATAGAGTGGACTTGATAAACGAGAGCTCCTCCTTGATCATGCAGGTGTCGACGACGAAAATAAAGATCAGAAGCGAGGTGGGTTTTTCGATGGACAGTTCGTACTCGATGGTGGTATAATGGGGGAAGAGCTCGGCGAGGAGGCTCTCATCGGAGATGGAGGCGTAGTGGGGAGGGAAGTGGTTGTGGGTGAAGCAAAAAGGGCAGATCTAGATCTTGGTAGCGTAATCGACAGTGAAGAAGGGGTTGAGAACCGAGTGGCATGTGCGGCAACGAAGGAGGGCGTAAGGGAGGACGGGCATGGAGGGGAATGGCTTGATCGGAGTGTAGATGGCGGAGATTGGGACTACGCTTAGGCAAATATAGGGTGGGTGATAGGGGATGGGGGAAAACGGGTGGGCTTCGTCGGAGCCCCGGTTCTCAGAGCCCATAAGAGAAGAAGAAAAAAGTTGGAGGAGGAAGTAATTGGACTAGGATTTGAGGGGATTTAGTGGTGTTTTTGGGGAGTTGCAGAAGTGGGAAGACTTGACTGGAATTTGGCAGAGGTGGTTGGGTGGAGAAGACGATCAAGTAGGGAGGATGAGGGTAAGGGAGAGTGATGGTGGGGTTTTGATTTTGGGGGTGAAGGAAGGTTGGGGGTGGGGGACACAAATGGATGGGGAAGAAGGGGGGATGAGTTTGTAGGGGTGGGTCCCCCATTTAAAAAAATTATTAAATGATTTTATTTTTTAGTTTTTAATATTTAATTAATTTTTTACTAGAAAGTGGGCCCCCTCTCAAGCCACGTCAGCATTTAATAGTCAATTTGACAGACAAACAAACGGAAGATATGAAATTGTAACAAATTCGTAAGATGAGGTACGACATTAACATTTTTTAAAGATAGGGTATGAAATTGTGACTGACCCAATAGTTGAGGTAGTTTTATGTAATTTATCCCAAAAAAATCAATTTCCAGTTTTGGGATTTGAGATTTAGTAGATTGCAAAATTTTCATTTTTTGGAAGAACGTAGTGTTTATATCATAGTAAAAATGACTATTTTTCTTGCTATTAATACGTTAAAATCACGTGACGAAAGAGTTAAAAGGAAGATATGCTAAACTATACGATAGAATTTGTTTTTTACATGTTATTATGCGGTGATTTCATTAGAAATCCAATGGCATCATATCCAAAAATAATTGTTTAATAGCAAGACAAATCACTCCTTGTCTCTTAGTAGGCATAAAAATGGATGACATTCTCTAGTCAGATTGTATCTAGTCATTCTGTTCTCTGGCTCAATTAGTTAATACTTGAGATTATATAGTTTTCAGATTTCACTCCTTCATAACTTTACTTCATGTGACATCACAACTAAAGAGAATTTCCCATAAACGCAATCGAAAGTCGGAAGAGAAACATCAAGCCGTGGAGTTAACTCAAGTACTAGTGAGAGATGGTGGAAAAATGAGTTAGAAATTAACATATTGATTTATTCTCATAAATCGTCTTTGTTCTCATAAAATCGTCATCACACAAAGATACTTTTGTGTTTTGACATTGACGCAACGGCAATAATATCCAACAAGGTCAGTTTACTTTGATAAGATAATTCGATTTGCGCTTCCTTGCTCTCAAAGTTTGGTTTGGTTTGGATGGATATACAAGGGGCCGGAATAGCTTTGCTTTCATCCTATAATCCTAGACGAGGATGTGTTTTTTCGACCTACGTGACTTGTTGACCAATCAAAACCGCTTAGGACCAGACAACATATTGACAATCTCAAAGAGCAACTCAAGAAGTGGGTGGAAACATAAGGAAAAACACTTGTCTTAGTGTTAGATGAGATTAAAGATGCACTTTTTGAGCATTACAAATCACTACTTTGATCAGTTTGACAAATTAGATTTGATTTCCGATCATTTTAGTCGATTTCTCTTATTAATATGTATTCTACGTCCATGACATATTAGCTATATCATCCACTTATGACACATGAATTAATAACAATACGTGATAGTGTGACAATTACACTAATAAATTTCTCATATCACACCTCATGGAGGGCAAGTACAGAAAATTTGACGAAGTGATCATTTTTAAAATTCCAATTGATTAACAACATATCATCATTATTTGATCGTTATCTCGTGAATATTTCATGTTAAGGTTATTTAGTCAAAAAATTAGAGTTAAAGATGGCGGACAGAAAGGATCCGACAGGGCCAACTCATGGAAATGGGCTATTTGAATAACTCTTTTCAGCCCAACATAAATGGGCTATAGGCCTAGTTAATATGCAGAGGTTTAACATAGGTGAACACAAATCTACCCTTTAAAACGAAGCAAAAACCGAAAACCCTAATTCTCACAGCACTCGTCTCTCTACCGCTGCGCCGTTTACCTGTTCTCCTGATCATCTCTGCAACTACACCACTCGGCAGCCATGGGTGAGCTCAATGCATCTCTCTCCGCCCATTTTCCCACGCTTTAATATCTTTTTCACTTTTTTGTTTCCATTTTTTTATTATTAAAATATGTATTTTTCTTAATTTTTTCAGGAAAGGTGCACGGTTCTTTGGCTCGTGCCGGTAAGGTGAGAGGCCAAACACCCAAAGTGGCCAAGCAGGACAAGAAGAAGAAGCCCCGCGGCCGCGCTCACAAGCGCTTGCAATACAACCGCCGATTCGTGACCGCCGGTAACACCACCGTTTCCTGATTTTCCCATCCAATATTTTGCCGTTATTACCTATGATATGGATCATATTCTCTGGGATTAAACCATTTTAGTGATTTTTGTTTAGATTGTTTTTTGAAATGGGTAATTAAAAATTATTGTTTTATGGAAAACCCATGTTCTGCATTTTTTGATTAAATCATTGTGCGTGATTGTTGCAGTGGTTGGATTCGGAAAGAAGAGGGGACCAAACTCCTCAGAGAAGTAGGGCAAAGATTCAAGCTTTGAAAGGATGACAAGTGCTTCGTAGATTAAGAAAAATTAAAGGCTTTATTTTTGTTTAAGTGTTGGATTATGTAGGTTTTTTTTTTATCTAATTTGAATTAGCAGCAATGCGATTTTGTTTCTGGTTTCTTCGTTTACATTTTTGTGTTGGTTTGGCTGTTTGATGATCCTCTTGTCTGATGCTTGATTTGATTTCCCGGGAAAATCATATTTAGAAAGCTAATTAATCGAGTTATATATCGTTTTTTAGTTTTGAATGAGAAATTGTGCAAAATTATCATTTTTAATTTTAATTGTTGAAATGATAAGTTTTTGTGGATGTTGTTGATGTATAATATATATCGTTAATATTTGTTCACTTTAACAATTAGAATTAGAATTGTAATTAGCCTATTTTACCAATATTTTTGAAGTTAAAAAAAATTTGGCTAAGGGACGCATTCATGAGATGGATTTGGCGTGAAAAATGGAGTGCTGCCCAAGGCGCAGTGGCGTTGCAAGATTCATACCATCGATTTTGTAAAAAAATTGTTAAATTTTTTTGTCGAACTAAAGTTCCTTTAGAAATTGACTAAAATGATTATAAATCAAGTCCCAGTTGCTCCAACAGGATTTTTTCGCGAGGATCCTGGGGATTCGATCGTTCATTATGGGTATCATTTGTATTTAATTTTAAATAAAAATATTTAAAATAATTTTTGATCGCGTCCACGATTTGATTACTTTCATAAGTTCGAGGGATAAATGAAAATAATAATAAATAGCTCAATGGGGCAACCATACAAAATTTCTGGCATGCGCTTTATTTAGTAATAAAATGATGCAATGACAAGCATCCACCATATGTATCGATTATACAAGCAAAGCCTAAACTGGTGCAGAAGCAATCTAGACGATACGTTTTCGATTTGAAGTATGTATTGTATACGAATTATAGAAGCAACCCAAAAATAATGCAGAAGCAATCTGATTCAAGCACTAGGATGACTTCCGATACTTGAGGGCGTCAAAGCGAGCAGCAAGTGCGTCATAATCCGGTAACTTTGGATGAACTCGAGGAACCGAGTCCTGCCTTGCAGCTGAAGGTACTTGTGGTGGAGGACGCTCAGGTGCTTGATGAAAGCCGCTGGGAGGTGACTCCATTTCAACTTCTTCATCACAGTCCGATTCATCAAACTTAATATCTGAATGTACTGATGGGGCGTTATTGTAGCTGTACCTCCTGTAGATGAATTGCTTCTCATTTCCATGGCTGTGCATCGCCTCCTCATCTCTTGAAGAGTGAGACCTATCAACTCCAGGAGCTTTAGATTGGTGATCGCTATTCTGAGAGCCAACTGATGGAGAATCTGGCGTAAAGAAGCCAGTGGAATTCCCAGAAGGGGTTCCAAATCCATTATTGACCATATTCTGAGACCCGAATGGTGGAGAGTCTGGCATAAAGCGGCCAGTGGAATTTCCTGAAGGGGTTCCGAATCCGGTATTGACGCTTGAAGATGATTGAGCTGCTTGATTGCAGTCTTTGTTGGCCAAATATGCAGCAACTTGTGCAGCAGCCATTGCCTCACTGGCAGATTTTGCAGCTGCTTCGGCAGCTGATGCTGAGTCTACGAATTGCATATGTCCTCTTTCACCACCACTACTTGTTCTGCGTTCTCCACCACCACTTGTTCTTCGTTCTCCACCACCACTTGTTCTTCGTTCTACACCACCACTTGTCCTGCGTGAAGAACTAAAAGAAAGTACGATAAAGTAAACAGATAATCGAAGTATGGTCATGCCTTAAATTAAGATGAGGTAAAAGGAATAGCCAAGCTACCTAGTGTCTGGCTTGTTAGTCTCAATAGATTGAGGCTGCACACTCTGCACAGGCATGCTGGTAGCACTAACAAAATTGCGTGGTCCTTGCTGTTAAAATAACGCAAATAGAAATATTAAATCAGAAAATTTCTTGCATATAACGTGAGAAAGGAAATGACTGATTACTAAACAAAAATCACAAAATGGAAAAGCTCCTGAATATAATTTGTGTGTGTGGGTGTGTGTGAGAGAGAGAGAGAGAGAGAGAGAGAGAGAGAGAGAGAGAGAGAGAGGAAGAGCAACGAACTATAAGCTCTTCTGGAGGCTTGAGAAGCTCCTGTTCAGATTCCGATGTATCCCATTCAACCTGGTATTCCTTGGCTATCTCCTTCAGGAGTTTCAACTTTACTTCGCCCGTAGGGGTTCTAACAGAGAGCTTGTCAATCAGCTGTGTGAGAAACAAACACACTCAGCTACTATAGAAACTAAAATATGAACTGTAAGTAGAAAAGTGATATGGTATATCCAATAACAATAAAGAAATAGATGACAGGGAGACCATGCTTACCATGCGATTCACACCACAGCTGGGACGTACATCAACAGCCGCAGATACAAAATCTTTACCGTACTTTTTCTCAAAAATATTCCTTAGAGTGATCAGTTCAGGAATCTCAGAGCACCTTGGGGAGGCAAAGATTAAACTTGCAATCCCTTCCTTGAGATCAGGTGGACACTCCCTGTAACAAATCCGATAAACATTGGGATTAAGATACTATTCCACAGCTGTGAAACGCAACACAGATAATACAATATTGTCACCTTTGCTTCGCGATGATAGAAAGCCTAGAGACTACTAATTCACAGAAGAGCTCAATGAACTCATTGGCAGCCAAAACGTTCTGTTCTCTGATCACATGTTCAACCTACAAAACAAAGAATTCGTTAGTAATTAGGGCAAACCTATTTCGTTAACCATGTTGCAAAACCGCAAACCCAACTGCAAAGCCACATGCCTGATCATAAGTTTGAGTCTATAACAAACTGAAGCAGAAGTTTGGGTACTATCGTATGTTTGAGTCAATAAAACATCTAAGTAAACAAAAAAATTCAGGAAATTATAATAACTTGCCTGGGAAATCCATTCACGCAATTGTTAACAAAATTCATGAGACATTAACATGTAGACCTATGCTAAGTGAATTGGCCTGTTTTTCAAACAACGCTAGAGTCACTAACATGCTTTTACTTTTACTCCCCTTCTCCCCTCCCCATTTATTTATAAAGACCAGAACACATGAACTTTAGATTAATATGTTAAATAAATGACTAATAAAAGTGATAAGTACCCGGATTCGAGCAGTGGCATCTTGACCAGATTGTAGGAGCAAGGCGATGTCACGCCTCATCTGCTTCACCACCACCTGCCTCTTATTCCTCAGCAGCTTTATTCTAGCCACTGCCATCTTCGCTTGCATTTTGCTGTTTCACCATTCATTCCATTGATCACGATTAGCAAAACAATGAGCAAGAACAATCATTCAGCAAAAAACCAAACCCCCCACCCTATTAAATTGTCAAAGAATGCACGCCATTTAACAACAGTTTCAACTTGTCACAATCTGGTCTCAATAACTCCCATTACCCACATATTGGTAGGCAACCAAACAGAGGGACTGACTCCGTGCCTATTAAATTGCCAAGAAAGAGCAAACATGGGTACAAATATATCAACTTTTAACAACTTTTCAGTATCTGGGTCTCAAGTCTCAATTACTCTTACAATCCAAATTTTCTACGCATCCAAACAGAGGGACTAATTCCCACCAGTTAAATTCCTGAGATAATGCAAACATTGAACAAAGATTTCATCTTTAACAATTTTTAACTATCAGAGTCTCAATAATTCCTACTACCCAAATTTTCTATGCAACCAAACAGAATGACTAACTCCCACCCTGCCTAGCCGATATAATGCAACATTGAACAAATATTTCAACTCTAATAATTTTTCAATATCTGGCTCTCTACAATTCCCGCTTCCCACATATTCTAGGCAACCAACCAACGGGGACTAAGACTAACTGCCATTGCCGAGATAATGCAAACAGTGAACAAATATTTCAACTTTTGACAATCTGGGGTCTCAATTCCTATTATCCAAGATTTCTAGGAACCAAACAGTGCAAATAGCTAAAGTAGAGAAACCCAGAAAGGGGAAAGGCAGAGAGCGAGAGAGAAGAATGTACCATTTGGAGGAGTTGAATCCCCATCGGAAGAGAGAGCGGCTGAGCTTCACCAGCTTCTTGGTGTGAGTGGTGGCTACGGTGGCGACAGTCATGGTCACAGAGAGAGAGGGGGTTGGGTTTTTGCTGGGTTTTGAATGCAGAGTGTAATGGAACGGTCGCCTGAATTGGAATGGGAAAGCTATGGAATTATACTTCAGATCCTCTGTGGGGCCCACTGGATAACCGACCTATGTCTTGTAATTATAAATTGGGCCCGTAAAACGAGAATATAGCCGTTGTGAGTTGACACGTGTGAGAAGAATCCAATGACAAAGTCGGTGGGAAGATTTCTTAAGCTGTAAAATCCAGCCAAACCATTTCTATTTCTAACTTTTTCACAATTTTTTTTTTTAGTATAACGATATATTTTATACTAAAATGAATGAGGAGTTTGGCTAAATTAGATTTTATTTTTATAATTAACTATTTTTTTTAATTATCTCTATTAATTAATGAAATCTTCTTTGTCAACCAAAAGAAAATGAAAAAACTAATTAGTCTTCTATTACACAAAAAAATGATGGGCAATAATGTAATTTCACAAGTGATGTTAAAATATCTCCAATATTAAAAATAATTAAAAAAAACCAAAAAAAAAAAAAATCTCCCACTCCCGCCCCCCACGTTTTCTATCTCTCCCTCTCACCTTCTCATTTTCTAAAAAAATGTGTTCTTATACACAAAATGTATATGCAAATACTAGTTAGTTTATTAAATAATGAACTAAATTTAAAAATCTGATTAATTCAAATGATGTGGCTGTTCACATCAAATACCATCTAAGCTGGTATAAAAATATGGTACAAAAACATAGTATGAATAACATTATTCAGAAATAAATTTGATTCAAGTCTATGTCACACCATAAAAAGACCGAAAAGTCCATGTGCATTATTTGGAACCGGATTATCAAATCAGAACTATTATCTATAATTTGGTTATATGATATATTGAAACCAAATCTGATTAGTCATGAACAAACGTAATAAATTGTTGAATTCGAATCAGAGGTAGATTTTCATATTAAAATCATCATCTAATTTAATTGTATCACATCGAATTGGAATCGGATTAAAATCAACTCATCAACGAGCATAAACATGTATTTAGGTTTTCACTTGCAAATACCTCTAAGAATTTTCTAACACGATTTACAACTAATAACTAAGATAATATAGGAAATGAAACTAAGGTAATATAGGAAACGATTGACGTTAGATTTCAAAGAAGATTACAATTCTCAAACAGAACGTCGCAAACTTAATTTAGAGGTTCCTTAAACAAAATAGTATTAAAATCAGTTTAAAATATATATACACATTTAGATACAAGTACAATAGAATTCACATTTCGAAAAAATGAAGAAGAATATACGTAGATCCTTTAAAATTCGGATGCTGCTACTGGGATTATATGGTACAATAAATGGAAACTAATCGATGTATGATCTTTTAACAAGAAAGCATGTTTAGGAGAGAGACTCTGGTGCGGATCAAGAGCCTAAACAAGCACTCCAAACCATTTTCAATGCCTTCAATGCTTGAATCCAAGACCTCCAACCTTCTTTGTGCAGATTGAATCTTCTGATCATCCTCAAAACCTTCACCTGAATTATTGACAAGCATGTTGCTAATTGCAATATCTACATTTTCCAGCTCGTTCATGCTTTTGTGTTGGTTGTTGTCACAAACCAACACCCCTTTGTGCAACAAAATCGAAACCAGTGACCATCTGCTAGGCCTTGGCTTCAGAATTGGTGTGGAAAGGAATGAAGACAGGAAGTGAAAAATGGAACTGGTGATCAAACTTGCCTCTCTCAGGACTCTCACCACCGCGGCGAGATGGTTGTCTAGATCCAAAGGAAATGCTTCATATTTTTTATCCATTTGCTTCAACGATACCATAAACTGCACAATTTCCTTCTTCATCCTTTTTCGTATGCGAACATATGAACTAACATTGTCTTCGACGCTCAAATCTCCCACCTTTCTTCTCCGAAGCGTGGATTGAAGATCTCTAACGCTTTCCTTCATCGTCAAAATGGAATCCCTTGTGTTGCCACAAACATCCAAGTACGTGACAGAATCATCCAACAGCTCTTCAACCCATTTCTCTTTCTGGTGAAGGGCTAGAGCCTGTTGTGTCAATGGCAATTGAAGAAGCTCCTCAATGCAAATATATAACTCTTTGAGCCCACCTAGTGCTTTGCATATTGAATCCGCCTTTGGCGACGACGAAGACAATGAAGATGTCAATGCTGCCTCCAAAGCCTTGAGCTTGTTCAGCTCTTCCTCGGTTCTGAGTGTGCTTGGATGTGACCTAACCGGCATACTAATCGATCGAACATTGTAAAGCTTTGAAGGTTTGGCAGAGAATGAAGCCATTGTTGCTCTTTTCATCATATAAAAACGTTGAAACTTGAGAGAAATTGTAAGAACTTGTGGGAATTGGTTCAAGAAGTTGTGCTGTATGATTTAGAGTTCGAAGTCACAGATTTATACCGAGGTACAAATTTGAAAGAAGATGGAAGGGGGACCAGAAGCATCTTTTGGGTCCTTAGGTCAATGTGATCAACATGTGGAGGCCGATGGGCCATTGTTCCATTCCATGGCGTGAGTTATAATGTCACGTCTTGCACCAACTATAAACTTAATATTTGTCCAATTTAATATCAGCTTAAAGTTATTTTTTTGGGTAGGATGTTATCTGAAATTAGTTCTTTTTGTTTTTCTTGAAAGATAATTTCATTTGACCTTTTCTTTCCTTTCATGCACCGCCGGCATGAGAAATTCTTATAAGCAAGGATGGAGTTAGAAATTTTTTTAATGGAGACATTAAACCAAAAATTTATTAAGTGAAATGAAATGATATCCACAACACCTCTTTTTTTATGCACACATTTGTTTATTTTTATCCATTGATTTTTTTTTTCTTTTAATTTATTCAATAAAATATATAACTAGAAATGCATAAGAATGTGTAAAGAGCGAAGGCAGTATCCCCTTCTTCTTTTTTTTTTTTTTTTTTTTTTTTTTTTTTTTTCAGACCAATGTGAGTAGGGGCATCCACCCATAGTGAATATAAGGTGCTTGTAAGTACTAATATATGAGTTCTTGTGTTGTAATAGTTGTGGACAATGTAACATTATGTAATCGTGTTATTAAAAACTAATTGACTGGCACAGCTAAATTTTAGTTTCTCAATATATAGTCAAGTGACTTAAATTTATAGGAATTCGATGGCGAGTATTTAAAAAAATGGAGCATTCCAAAGTTCTTTGGATAGGAGAACCTTTGAATATTGACATCGAGAAATCCATATATCCAACAAGATCATGAAACCATTTTTTTAATTAGTTTTGGAATTTGGTTGGAAATGTGGGGGGTTTAAACAAAAATTCAAAGAAAAAATTATATTTATAATATATATGTACATGGGTTGCACGAGTGTGATGTCTTTGCTATGTTCCCTTGAAGGCTTGCAACTTTCCAAATGCAATTAAACCTACTTCAGTTTAGTACTTGATTAAGTAGTTCATTGTGGTCATGCTCGACCACAGACCTTTACTCAAGTTTTCTGAGCAGTGGGATTGTTGTTTTCTTTGTTCTTTTCCTCATTTTTCTTCTTACTTTTTGGCCTTAAAAGAAGGAAATGATTCTTTCTTGGTAACTTTTTGTCACATCTTTAACTTTAGGCCAATTTTTTCTTCATCTTTGCTGACAGGTAAAAAGACTTTGTCAAGGTACTTCTTGATCAGTGTGTTTGAATTAGAAATATTTTGGCCCCTTATTTGAAAATTTTATTAATTTTGGGACGGAATCAAGGAAAGGAAAAGATGAAAAGCGAAGAAGAATACTCAATATGAAGCAAATTCGACAATTTGATTGAATTGCTATATATGTATATGCATGAAACAAGTGAACTTGCAATTGCATATTTTTTTAGGACAAGGCACAATATTCATTAAAAAGTGATGAGAAATTGTCCAACAGAATAGCCAGGAAAATTGCTGTCAAAGTTTTCAGTAATCCCAATTGAAGGAAAATGGCACCATACTATAAGCAAACTAATTTTAAGAATTGTCCTCTAACAACAACTTATCAAGTGTTTTTCTATATATGAAAGGGGGGAAACATGCCTTCTTTAGAATATCATAGAATCAAAGTTATCATAACTCAACCTAGATACAAAATAAAAAGAATTGAAAATTACATTAGTTGGTCATGATCGCTTAATATGAGCAAAAACAGAGGGGATTAAGATTAGAGTTGCTTCCAAATATATCAATTTAGTCGATTTCGTGCCTTTGGCTTGGGAAAGACACAAGATGAAAAGACTTTAAGGTATATTACTATATTCTTTCACATTTAGCGGAAAACTTCATATTAGAGTAAAGGGTGTTCAATTTAAAATACTTGTGCTTCCTTCCCAAGCTCTTAAGTGTCTCTTAGCAAGCTGCACGAGGACAGCTAAAGTATATTTAATTTCGAAAATTTGATTTGCACATCATATTATTGAAAAGAAAATGACTCCACCGTGCATATCGTGGGATAATTGGGACTTAAAAATTGAAATATGTCATTGTTTGTCACATTCTTAAAAATCTTGAATAATTTGTTGGGACGTACCAGTCACTTAATAAATTGTATACAAGGCCACAAGTTGTTACTTCATATATTATTACTCAAATAAATTTGGTTAGCAAAAACAACAGAAAAAAATACAGATAAATACATAAACAGACGGCTAGTTGACATTTGTGAAGTTGATACATTAGCAATATGCATGGTAAATCTTCTCTATTGCTATACAAGATATCGGGAGGGCAACATTAGCATGTGTCAATTGCCAAGTAAATTAGAAAGAACATTTTTGAGCAATCACTAAAAGTTTTTAGTGTGACTGCGATCTTGGCCTTTTTGAGTTCACATTTCTAAATTAACGTGACGTTATGATGACACTAAAAAATTTTCTATTACACATAATGTATGTAATTGTGAAAGATAAACGTCATTTCCCAATGAAGACAATTTCTTGGAAGGACAAGGAGATCGAGTGGTGGTAGGGTTAGACCTTGAGGGCAAGCTGATTGATCTAATAACATGGTGCTTGTCAGCCATGGTTTAGGGTTTGACAAAATGCTCAAAGTTGAGGTTGTTCTTTGTTTTTTTAAAGAGCTTAAGTTGAGTTGTCTAGTCTTACGTTACCTTGTCACATTCGCATATTTGGGCAACATTGCTTGAATAATTTACATTTTCTTTAGGAATGACAATTGGCATGAGATGTATCACTATCTTGTCTTTGGTGTATTGGGTTAGGGCAAAAACATCACGGGTTTTGATAATATTTAATTAATTTTTTTAATAAAAAGTGTGTCATGTCTCATGCCAGAGGAATTAAGAGTCAATTGACAGAAAGTATGATATTACAATAAATTCGAATATAAGGTATGATATTAAAAAAATTTAAAAACAAGGTATAAAATTGTTAATGACCTAATAATTAAAATAATTTTATATAATTTATCCTTTTTTTTTTTAACAAAAAGCTGATTATTATTAGATTGAAGGAATTGAGCTCTTTCATACAAGTATATGCCGGCCCGTCTTCACTCTCATCGGGAATATATGCCGGCCCCTGCAACTTTATTTGCCAACATATTAAAACGACAAAAAAACACTTTCTTTTAACCGCATTGGGGGTTGGAGTATGCGATAAGCTGAGTGGCGTGTATATTATTATATGATGGATGATGCATCTGCACGTTCTTGAAAACGTGAACTGCTACAGGCTCTGGCTCTCCATCAATCCATTACGAACATTACTGCACAGCATTTATTGGCATGCCTTGCTGCTGTTGCCTCCCCAACATCATATATTCAAAGATGATATTCCTCTCAAATTCTCACCCATAACCTTGATTCATCAGTATTTACCATTTTTGTTTCTTACAATTTCTGTGTTGTACAATATCTAATTGTCTAATGGTTATGTTTCAGTTCTGACATAATTTTTCATGCTCTTGTCTTTGAGTTGTCGTGTGTCCTGCTTCAAAGAACCACAGAAGCATGTGTATTGACTAGTTAAAAATTTGTATTTTAAGCTAGCAAGCTCAAGTAACAAAGGAAACTTACAGTAACCTATAATATATAATATATAATATGAAAGAAACTCAAAGCTTTTTTTCTTAATAATATAGGATAACAATTTTAGGCCATCTCCAGCCGTGGAGGAGAACAGAGTGTAGAGGGCTATATTTTAAGCCTCCAAATAATGCTCTTTTATCTCGTGTAGTCTCAATTATATCATTTCCACCTCAACTTCTCGGCATTACTATCGACTATTGCAGGGTTATACATTAATATTTTGGGTTTTTATCACAAATGGTCTTTGAAATTGACCCTCACCGTCAAGATGGTTCCTGAAATTAAAAATCAATCAAAGTAATCCCTAAAAATAGATGTCGCAAATTAATGTGGTCATTCCATCACAATTCTGTTAAGTACTGACGTGACATATAAATGGGTCCATAAGTCATTTTTCTCACAAAGGATCATTGAAATTGACCTGCAACATCAAAATGGTCTCTGAAATTGAAAGTCTATTTGGGCTCTATAAAGAGATAGGAAGTCTGTGTGGGCTCCATACAAAGCTTTGTCAAAGGGAAATGGATCCTCTCTGGATCCCTTCCACCTAATCCTCCTTATCAAACAATCCGGGCCCTTGAAATTTGATCCAACGGCTAAAGTTATTATAACTTTTAGAGTGTGCCCGTGTTTTTAGCCGTTGGATCAGATTTTAAGGATCCAAATTGTTTGATGAGGAAGATTAGGTAGAAGGGATCCGTTGTAAAAGGACTAAATGCATCTCGCTCCACGGCTACAAGTACTTATCCGTGTTGATGACTAGCATATTGCCCTCTTACTAAAATCGGACTTTACACATTTCAGGTTAAAAGTGACATAATCCTTAATGAAAATGACCTTAATGCAAAAACTAAAATGCTTTTAATTACTCTTTGGTCTGTCAACTAAGATCTCTTTCAAAATATAACCATCTCAAAACTCAAAACATAGTTTTAACCTATTTAACAATAGAATTTGGCCCAAATTGAAACCCAGGGCTCAAATATGCAAAGGTTGAATTTTGCTGTTTTGCGCTTTATTTGTCAAGTTGCTCCTCAATCCTATCAGTCGTCAATTCAGACATCGTTCGATGTACTATATTACAAGGCTTTCAATAACTTATAATTTCATAATATTAAGATTGATGTTTTATCCTTATATATAAATAATTCCCAAATTGGCAAATCGCCACTACTTTAACGACGAATTGCAGTGTAGCACTGAATTATATTTGGAACTGTGTTATATATAATGTTGGTGATGTTGGCACCATTTCGGAGACAAGGAGGCACTAAGGCAGTTCGTATTTCCCCTTTTCTCCTATTCTCCTATACATACAGAACATATTCATGCATTGGAAATTGATATTTCTGGCCGGCTACATCATGCAACGAATGTATACCCAAGATCCAAACTTTGTTTGATGGTGTAGGCGGCTTAATATTGCTGGACAAAGGTTCAGTATATTCTATGCAGTTCATCAGACCAATCCAAACTGTATTAAACCAATCAGAACACATAATCACAAGCTCAATAATATCTATGCACATGAGGGCTACAAGATTCCTCGTCTCCTTTATCTAGCTAGTTAACTTGGTATTAATTCGGAATATTAGAGGAGCACAGTACGTACATTGCCTATAAAATGCATGCGTGTAAATCAAAATCATCTTCCCCTTGATGCGAAATTTGTTAGTTCCGGGAACACGGCCACCAAATGCCATAATATTATTTGAGTCATAAATAAAAGTAAGGCGTACTATGCTGCTTTTTCATTTTTATTTAAGCAAAAATCATACGACTTCAGCCCATCAACATTGAAAACCAAACCAGAGCTTGGACGAGCATCTTGCTTTACTCCAACCTGTTTAAGGCCCCAACAAAAAGTCCTTCGAAATGAGTTTGCTACATAGACGAACAGTTAAGCATACACAAAATTACACAGAATTTAAGATTTAGGCAAGCATAGACGAAATTACATTGAATTTAAGTTCTTGTTCGCTCGAGTAGAAAAAAACTTAACCGAACCAATGTTCACTTGGTGCACCACCATTTGGTTGAGAAGTCAGATATATGTGCAACTTTCACTCACACACTTGAACACAAACATTACCTATTGGCAGCCTCCAAGAGTGCCACGTCTATCTCTCTTCTCTCGAGGCATCTTATGGCACTGAGACCAAAAGCTAAACTCGGGGCAAATACTTGTTGAACCTAGTCCAGACTTTGTGTGAGTTTTGACACAACAAATACAAGTGGATGAACATTTGAAAAAAAAAACTTCTCTTTATTATATTATGACATTTAATATACCAAACCGTTTTTCTTGTACACTAAAAAATCTCTCCTCCTTCACATGCATAAAATGCAGGAAATGTATATACAAATATATTCCTACCTCCCAAGCTCCAAGTTAAGATGAATAAGTATTGTATTCTCTCTTCCTCAATAGTTAATAATTAAATTGATATTTTTCCAATACCATATGTGTGCTTTGCTAATCAACCAACCAACAAATTATTCTAAGGAATGTGTTTATACAATAATCGTACGTCAAATATTCTTCGAGTATCAGCCGAATAACTTAAGGCATGGATAGGTCTACGTCCTTCTTTTGAATGCGGACATGCCAATTTGGAACCAAGCTCAATTGGGCAAATAGAATAAATGTTGATATGCCCGACTCTGATATACTCCAAACACCAGGATAGGCACGTGCTGACTAGGTGACGAAGCCATACTAACATGCATGAGAAGTAACGAACATAAATAAAACTTTAAATTTAAATACAATAATTATGCAATTGTGGAACGTGTTACTAATCTGAGACACTAGAAAGGAAATAATATAAAATTGAATGAACAAAGGGATGGGTCCTACACCTAGAGGACTTGAAGATGCCGATGCGGGCACCGGTATTGTAAGCCTCGATTCTAAGTCCTGAGGGGGGCGCAAAACAAAACATGAGTGGACCAAGTTGATATATAGGTAATACTAAAACCGTTATTCACCAACGTACTAACCCCCAAAGTTTATGAAAACACAAATAGCATAATAAGTAATAGGTTTTCCAAAAACCCTAGCATGCCATAAAACTTCATAAAACATATATTGTATGCTAAGTAGTGGTATCAAAATGGCCCGAGGACAGGTCATTCGCCCGTAGGCAGATCATTTGCCCGTAGGCAGGATATTCGCCCGTAGGCAGGACATATGAGTAACCACTAAATAAGCACAAAAATCAGTGAATATAATATTTCCAAGATACATGCGCATATATACATATATATATATATGTATATATCATCGGAGCTTAATAGCTTAAACATCATATCATAAAAACATATTCGTAGTATATAGTCATCAATCATATATACTACAAAGAACGTAAAATCGATAAAGCATGAATATCATAAAGCGTAAATTCAATTTACTCATAAACGTTTCATAAAATGTAACCATTAAATCATGCTTTTCATGTATGCATTTCTAATAGTAAAATCATGCATTTTAGAAGGGATCCACTCACAGATACTCTGCAGTCGAAGAACCGTGCGAAATAGGAAGGACGGAAATGCCATAAACAATTGCACCTAAGCACATAAAGGTACCAATTAGTAAAACTATACTAAAACGGTTGAATTTCAGGAAACAGACGTTATAAACATATTCAGGATGTCGAAAAATCTAAGGGGGGGGGGGGACCTCGGGTACACCCAAGCCCTTATATACCTGAATACATAAGGTGACAACGAAAAGGATAAGAATAAAGTGAGGGAGGAAGTAGGATTGGCAAGGGGTGCACTGGGGATCTTTGAGGAATTGGGTTTATGTGATAATCTTGACTTTTTTTTTGGCTCCAATGGACGCAGCTCCAAAGCATGAACAACTTTATTTGATTAGATTTATAACCTAGATACATTTATCACCATTTGATTTATTTGATGGTTAAGATTCAACGCTATAAAATCTTTCAAAATCCATAGAAATTTGTTATACGAATCTTCTCAAATCTTCCAAAATCTATATGAATTTTGAAGAAGTCTATATAATCCTATAAAATCCATCATGTATCAAAATCTATTAAAATTATCTTAATTCCAAGTTTGACTACACCCCCAAAGAAAAGAAATATCTTGATGTGATTCAAGGTGTCAATTGTATTTCATTGAATGTCTATAAATGTTACAAATGTATCAAAAGAATTATAATCCCAAAGGAAATCCTAACAAAATGTGGCCTTTGAGAGCACATCATTGTGAGATTATGTTCAAAAGAGAAGCTCTTGTTTTAATCAAGCGCCTAAGAACGCTCTCCAAACCCTTCTCAAGGCCTTCAACGGTGACTTCCAAAGCCTCCAATTGTTTATGTGCATTTTGAATCTTCTCAACATTAGTACCTTCCGTAGGAGCTGATGAAGATTTGCATAGAGAGTAGAGAGCAGCATCAACACCATCCAACTCATGGCCATGAATGTCCTCCTTCTGATCTTCACATGTTATCACTCCCTTGTGCATGAACTTTGATACCAGAGACCTCTTGTTTGATATCGGCCTTGAAACTGGAACTGCGAAGAAGACCAATAGGGATTGAAAGATAGACACATTCTTACCAAAAACTTCTCTAAGAACTCGAACCACCGCAGGAGCACGCTGATCATGCACCATACGTTGTGATGCTTTGTTGTTTACTTTTTTCAATGATGTGATCAATTTCTTAGTATCCTTCTTCATCTTCTTTCTGAAGCAATTGTAACTTGCAATGCTGCTTTCTATGTTCGAGTCTCCCTTTCTCCTCCTAAGAGCAGATTGAAGGTCTCTAACATGTTCCTTGATTTGTGACATGGCGTCCCTTGTGATGCCACATATGTCCAAGAGCCTGAGTGATCCATCCAACAACTCATCCATACACTTCCCTTGTTGGTATTGAGAAAGGAGTTGTTGGGTTCATGCCATCGGTAAAAGATCATCCACACAATCATACAACTCCTCTAGTCCACATAGAACTTTGCATATTGAAGCAGAAGCTGAAGATGTTTGGCGCCTACTCAGCTCTTCTTCAACTCTAATAGTGGTTGGGTGTGATCTTGAGGGCAGGCTGATTGATCTGACTTCGTACTTGGCAGCCATGGTTGATTTTCGTTTGTGTTCAACAAATAACGTCAAAGTTGAAGCTGTTCTTTATGTTTCACTAGAGCTCAAGTTTGAGGGTTTTAGTCTTACCATATCTTGGAATATGTTTATATATAGGGATCAAAGATGAGAGTGACAAGACTTATGAGGTTAATGTGGAGAGCATGTTACTTTGTCACAAATTTGGGTAACATTATTGCTTCAATAATTTTGAGGCCTCAATTATATGTGGCAAAAGCCTCACGGGCCATCACCAACTTTGCCTTCCCTTGTGCCACATTGCCCTTCACTTTTCATTTATTGAACCGTGGCAGGCCGGTCCTCCAACCTTTGGCTTTGTCTAGATTTACTCAATTTTGGAGAAGATCCAACGCCAAAATGCGTAGATATATAAATAAGATAAGATATGTAACATATTATTGTATGCACGAGTTACTTGTACTATTCGTGACTATTATATTTTGGTAAACGTTTCATGTGTGTATAAAGTCATGACCAAACTAGAAGTCGACGTGTGGACCTTGGAGACATGTGGTGCTCTCTGCTTGGTTCTCACATTTGAGTTATCTCACCAAATTATTGATGTATATTCCCTCATAAAAGTTTACCTTTAGAATGGGCAGGTGGCAAACTTTGTTTGGCTCTCTCAGTTGAGTCACATCACCTAATTATTGGAGAGTCCCTTTCCTTAGGTCGGAAAAATCATTGGAGACATTGAGTAATTTTTCCTATTGAAATTAACTTTGCATAATTTTCCCAAGCTTCTCTCACCTCTCGGATATTGGCCCACAAAAAAAGAACAATCTTTAATCCTATTGGGAGTTGTATTTAAATTTTGATTATAAATATACCACCTTAGGTTTGAAGTCTATTACAATCTTATATAATAAATTCAAAACATTTCATTTTCATACCTCACATACTATTTTATTTCAATATAGTACATTCGTTACATTTTCTATCCATTGATCCATTAAGAGCTGACGTGGCGGCCACATTTGTGCCACGTAGCTGCTAAATTTGTGCCACGTGAAACATAATTTTTTATTCATTTAAAATATTATAATAATTTACCCTTAAAAAAAAAAAAAAAAAACTCAAACTCAAACCTCCCTGCAACCCCCCACTCCTGCAAACAAACCCAGAAACCTTCACCCCCCGCGACCCACCTCGCTCTCCACTCTCTTGACCTCCCTTCCCAAAAATCCCTTTCTCAGTCCTCTCCTCACTCAGCATTTCTGATTGCTTCTCTCTCTCTAGGAGATGAGTCCTCAAACCCTAACCCTAATCTCATGCACTCCTCTCTCTTCTTCTTCCTCTTCCTATCGCCGATCGATTCGTAGAGACGCTCGCTGGCGTCTTCGCTCCCACAGAAAACGCAGGAGCTTAAACGGAGGGGGTGGCCCGGGTGGGATTTTTGGGCGTGGCGGCGGTCTCCGGGAAGGTGGGGGTGGGGTGGGGGGTTGCGGGGGAGGTGAGGGTGGGGTGGGATGGGGTGTTTGGGTTGCAGGGAAGGGGGAGGGTCGGGGGGTTCTGGGTTTGTTTGGTTTTTGGTTTTTTTTATTTTTATTTTATTTTTATTTTTTTTTTTTATAATTAGGATAAATATTATTATATTTTAAATGCATAAAAAAAATTATTATTTTGTCACGTGGCATAAATTTGGCAGCTATGGCACAAATGTGGATCCCATATTTGCCACATCATCCGTTAACGGATTTTCTAATGGATGTATGAAATTGAAATAAAATGATAAGTAAATGTATGAAATTAAAATGTTTTAAAGATATTATAAGGAATTGAAATTGACCCTACTGAATGGGTAAAATATAATTTTCCCTAAATATTTGCATTCATCATGATGCATTGCTGCATAATAATAAGAACAAACATTAGCGCATTACAGCCATTACTGAATCTGTTCTGTTTTATTCTGTTGTCCTTTAATTTGTATGGCTTGTGATTAATGCACGATGATTGATGAGTTCATCATTTTCATCACTAACTACACATCCTTCATAACCAGTAACCATAATAATATATATATGTACGTGTATCAAAACCGTCATTAATGTGACACAGAATATGATTGAATGATGTTTTGCATATCTTTAAATAATAATAAAGAGAATGAGTGGTTTCAATTAGAAATTTAATCTGATGTTTGGATAGGTAATTGGGTAGTACGTGGATCAGTTTTGATGCCTCATTCTTTCATTAAACGATATAAACTATTTTTTAGATCCATGATATCTGATATCCTCTCTAAAACATAAGTTTTATTTGTCTTTGTAGATTCATTGCCTAGAGAGAGGTGTAATTCTGAAAGAAACACAAACCATCAATGAATGTACTTTCTCGGGGAGAAAAGTGGTGTGGGAATTAAGTAAGAAGTAGGATTCTCTCCTTTCTTTTTTACTCACCTCTTCCCTCATTTCCTATTTGAACGGTCACGGTTAAGTCACGTCAATATCTTATATTATTTTTTTATAAAAAAGAGAAAAGCAAAATAGAGAATATGAGAGAAGGGAATGGAAAGATGAGGGGAGAGAATCCTAGTCCATTAACTAGAGGGTGGTGTTATTTACACATCCATTTTTACTTCTCACACATGACATACTCTTCTCAATTTCTGGCTGTTGGATCGAATAAATTGAAGAAGATCAATGAACAAAAATTAACAAGGGTAAAAAAATTAACAAAGGTCTGTGAGAAGTAAAAAAATGTGTGTGAATAACAATATGCTAAGAAAAAAGAATCTAATTCTTCAATTTTAATTTGATGAAACCAATAAAGAGATTTAGTAGTGAAGGGTACTCAAAACTTATTTGGGCTTCCGTACGTAATATTTACACATAAATATGAAAAAGCATAGTGAACTCTTAGATGAAGTGAATAATGTTCAACAGATACTAATGCCAAAACTAACAAGATCAACAAGCTTTTGCCCACTAGTGAAAGCATGTATATTGTTTGTAGGTGTTCTAATCACGTTTATCCATTGATCTTCTTAGTGTTCCTTAAAAATCAAATTATTTCTCCGTACAAGTTTCATTAGCCTTGCATGTGTTAGTTTTTTAGAGTTTGATGGCCTTGCATGTACATAACAATTAAAAGATAAAAGACAAAAAACAAATATCATGATAAGATTAAGAACTTGGGTTTCAACTGTATTTCATTGTGCAACTACATATATACATATACATATGTATCAAAAAAATTATAATCCCAAAGGGATCCTAATAAAATGTGGATATGCCTTGGAGGATTTTGGGATAAATGAACGTGGCCTTTGAGAGCACATCATTGGGAGATTATGTTCAAAAGAGAAGCTCTTGTTTTAATCAAGCGCCTGAAAACGCTGTCCAAACCATTCTCAAGGCCTTCAATGATGATTTCCAAAGCCTCCAATCTTTTTTGTGCACTTTGTACCTTCTCAACATCAGCTGAAGAAGATTTGGATAGAGAGTAGAGAGCAGTATCAACACCATCCAACTCATGGCCAATAATGTCTTCGTTCTGATCTTCACATTCTATCACTCCCTTGTGCATGAACTTTGATACCAAAGACCACTTGTTTGCCTTTGGCTTTGAAACAGGAACAGCTAAAAAGACCAAGAGGGATTGGAAGATAGACATGTTCTCGACACAAACTTCTCTAAGAACTCGAATTACAGCGGTGAGATGGTGGTCTTGCTCTAAAAGTTGTGATGCTTCAATTTTGTTATCTACTTGCTTCAAAGATGTGATCAATTTCTTGGCATCCTTCTTCATCTTCTTTCTGAAACAAGTGTAATTGGCAATGCAGCTTTCACGGCTTGAGTCTACTTTTCTCCTCCTAAGAGCAGATTGAAGAGCTCTAACATGTTCCTTGATTGTTGAAATGGTATCTCTTGTGATACCACATATGTCCAAGAGCTTCACTGATCCATCCAACAAATCATCCATGCATTTCTGCTGTTGATGTTGTGAAAGGAGCTGTTGGGTTGATGCCATCTGTAAAAGATCGTCCACACACTCATACAACTCCTCTAGACCATATAGAGATTTGCAGATTGAGTTTGAAGTTGAAGCACAAGATGAAGATGCTTGGAGCTTGCTGAGCTCCTCTTCAACTCTAATAGTGGTGGGGTGCGACCTTGAGAGCAAGCTGATTGATCTGATTACATTGTGCTTGGCAGCCATGGTTTAGGGTTTTAATTTGTGTTTGACAAAAAGCTCAAAGTTGATGAGGTTGTTCTTTGTTTTTCAAAGATCTCAAGTTTGAGGCGTCTGGTTTCACCATCTCTTGAGAATGCCTATATAGATGGAATAAGGTGAGAGAGACAAGACTTCTGAATTCAATATGGAGAGCATGTGGAGCCAGAGTGGGCAGGCCTCGAGTTTTGGTTATGTTGTCACTTTTTTAGGTAACATTATTGCTTCAATAATTTGCAATTTCTTTAGGTTTCAATTGTTATGGCAAAACTTCAAGAGTCATCACCAACTTTGCCTCCCCAAGTGCCACATTAGCCTTCATTTTTAATTTATTGAATTGTGGCAGACCAATCCTCCAATAGCTGGCCTTGTCTTGTCTGGGTTGTCTCAATTTTGGAGATGCTTCAACACCGAAATTGTATTAAACAAAATGCTTAACAAAGAGATTGAGATCCAGATCTAGAGGGATTAAGAAATGTAACATATTACACACACCACGTACTATTCATGGTGGTTAGAATGCTAAGATCAACATCATAATATTGTAGCCAGTATTAAATTGTGCGCACGAATGGTTTGTAGTATTCATGCCTCCGTTTAAATTTGCAATGTATTTTTTATTTTAATTTTGTTTAAGATACTCAAAATGTTTATGAAACGTATGTTGCTGCTTACTTGGACACGTGTTGCTCAAATACAAGTGGTGCCCTCTGTTTGGTTCTCTCATTTGAGTCATCTCACCACCGAATCATTGAATTAGATTTCCTCTTGAAATTTTAACTTTGTAAGAGATTTGTGTCATCTCACCAAATTATTGATGTTTCTTAGGGTTACACATCGATTTTTTTTAACTTTAAGATAGACAGATGGTCATCTCTGCATGGCTCTCTGATTTGTGTCATTTCATTAAATGATTGGAGACTTGGAGTAGTATTTTCCTATTGAAATTAACTATGCAGTGGACAGGTACGTGCTCTTACCTTGATCTCTCATTTGGATTTATCCTTTATTTAGAATTATGGGTGAATGATGAGGACATTTAGTATGAAATCTTCAGTGTATTTAGTAAATTGTGGAATGTAACCTAGAGCTACTTTACATAATTGAGTGTTGTTTATAAAGATAATGTTAGGGAAATCAAAATTTTAAACCAAAATTTCAGACCAAACAATAGGTCACTAATAGGACATAAGCACATTAATCGACATTTAATTAATAATTCAATCATTAATAACTATATTATTTAGTTAATAAAATTTGGTTCCTGTAGCATTACCTTTTTCATAATTATTTCTTTTTTTGTTTTTGTTTTTTGTTTTTTGGGTAACAAATAGAAGAAAATAGGTGAAAGAAAGGAAGAAGGAAGGTGGGTGGAGGAAGCATGGTAAAAGAAATGTGAAGGAAATGTCGACAGAATGAAATAAAATGAACCTAAAAACCAAATTCCAAAAACAATTTTAATTTGTTTTTACTTACAAGTTTCAGTTATCACTTATCATAGATTCTCATTCATTTCTTCCTCTTCCCTCCCAATAACTCCCTCTTCCTTAACTCACCTTATTTCTCTTATACTTTCTCCTATCTCAAAACACAAAAATCAAAAACTGAAAAACGGAATTATTATTAATGAGCTCTAAGAAGAAGTTCGAAATGTAAAAATACCATTGTAAAAATGACGATACGATATTAGCTAGGTTTTAATCTCAAATGGAGAATAGAGTTTACCAATAGTCTTTACAAGAAGGAAAACCATGTTTTAATCATCTTCAAGATCCACAACATCATTAGTGACTACATTCAAAACTTCAAAATCATCATCCATCAATAGAAAAATTTATTTTTCTCTATGAGAGCTATTAGAGTTTTAGTCAGAATGAACGTAGGATAAACAAAAAATGATCGTAGGGTTTAATTATAGTGTTTGGGTTTATTGATAAATTTGAGTTTTATTATTAATTTTATTTTGTACTTAATAGTAATTATGCAATAGGGTAAAATAGACAATTAGCATTCAAAATTTTAAGTTGGGTGTAAAAAGAGATTGCATGGGTTTAAATAAAATTTCCCTTTAGTTTAAGGTACTCAAAATGTTTATGAAACGTATGTTGCTGCTTACGCGGACACGTGTTGCTCTAAGGCAAGTGGTGCCCTCTATTTGGTTTTATCATTTGAGTCATCTCACCACCGAATCATTGAAATAGGAAAAGGAACCTCGTTGGATCCTCTTTTTTGGAATTCTAGGAATCCCGTGAACGAGACTGTCTATCATAAATCGTGCGGTCAGTTTTCGTTAGGTACTATTTATATTTAATTTTAAATTTTAAATTTTAAAATGATTTTTGATTGCACAATATACAATGGACGGTCCTGATCATAGAATCTCTAGGAGTCCCAGAAAAAATAGATTTCCTCTTGAAATTTTCACATCGATTTTTTTTGAACTTTAAGATAGACATGTGATCATCTCTGCATGGCTCTCTGATTTGTGTCATTTCATTAAATTATTGGAGACTTGGAGTAGTATTTTCCTATTGAAATTAACTTTGGTGGACAGATACGTGCTCTTACCTTGATCTCTCGTTTGGATTTATCCTTTATTTAGAATGGGTAAATGATGAGGACATTTAGTATGAAATCTTCAGTGTATTGAGTAAAGTGTGGAGTGTACCTAGAGCTAGCTTTACATAATTGAGTGTCTTTCATAAAGATAATGTTAGGGAAGCTAAATTTTTAAACCAAATTTTCAGACCAAACAATAGGTTACCAATAGGACATAATAACGTTAGTCGATACTTAATTAATAATTCAATAATCAACAACCATATTATTTAGTTTACAAAATTTTGTTCATCTAGCATTACCTTTTTCATAATTATTTCTTTTTTAATTTTAATTTTTTGTTTTTTGGGTAATAAATAGAAGAAACTAGGTGAAAGAAAGGAAGAATGAAGGTGGGTGGAGGAAGCATGGTAAAAGAAATGTGAAAGAAATGTCGATAGAATGAAATAAAAATGAACCTAAAAACCAAAATCCAATATCCAAAAACAATTTTAATTTGTTTTTACTTACAAGTTTCAGTTATCATAGATTCTCATTCATTTCTTCCTCTTCCCTCCCAATAACTCCCTCTTCCTTAACTCATTCCTCATTTCTCTTATACTTTCTCCTATCTCAAAACATAAAAATCAAAAACTAAAAACGAAATTATTATTAATGAGCTCTAAGAAGAAGTTCAAAATATAAAATACCATTGTAAAAATTAAGGGTGCAACTTTGGTTGGGTCAACCCGAACCCAGCCCGACTTTAAACCCGAACAAGCGGGTTTTTTTTTAGTTATAACCCGCTCGAACCCAACCCGATTTCAACCCTTCATTGATTGGGTTGGGTAGGATTGATCATTTGCCCGCCCGAATTAACCCGAACCCGTTCATTGATGTGGCACATAGAGCTGTTAGGATCACCCATAACTCTTACTACTTCCAAGTTGATATGGAATTATATGGACCAGAAGGATGTACCAAAGATCTGAATTGTACCCGAAATCTGCCCACAATCTGACATTGAATACATAAATGTTTAGTGGCACAATCATCCATTTGATCCAAATTTGACCCTAGTTCATTCCAGTGGGATTATTATTTTAGCTACCTGACTATTGTACGTCTGATTCAGGGAGATGAATGTGGTAGTTTGGTGGACTTTGATGCTCCAATCGTTGACGTGCAGTACACTTTTAGTAATTTTTCATTCAAGGCAAGGCATATAAACCCTAAGTTGTTATTTTTCTTCCGATGCTGGATGAAAATGAGTGATGGTGATTTTTTCTACACAATTATTTTGGCACTGGGGTCTCATGCTCTATAGAGACTTGATTCTAGCTTTGGACAATGAAGTGTTCCTCTCTTTCTTTCTTTTTTTCTTTTCTTTTGGTACTAGCTTTGGTATTTCTTGTATTTTAATTCAAACTATGCATGGTTGAACATTCATATTTAGTTTAACTTTATAACAGATACAATTGGCGGGATTGAATTTTAATTTTGAAAAAGTTGAGCAACCCGAATCCATCCATGTCCAACCCAAACCCGATTAAAACCCAACCCGAACCCGAGCCCAAATTGTAAAAGTTGGATAAGGGTTGGGTTGACCTTCCAACCTGCCCAACCTGCCCGAGTTACATCCCTAGTAAAAATGACAATACGATATTAGCTAGGTTTTGAACCATCAGGAAATGCTTATAACTATATATAGTACATATGGAATTATTTGGTTGATTATTTGATCCCATTTAGAGTATTATTTAGAGCCCGTTGTGTGTTCAGAAAAGAATAGATTTGATAACTCATAAAATTCAGAATGTCAAGTATCATTTTTCCCCAGGGTAAAATGAAAGTTAGATTTGAGGTGAGAATGACATTCGTTTGTTAACATATATATTATTCTAATAAAATTTAAATATAAATACTTCTGTTGTAGTCATAAATAGTGTTTATAATCTCTGTTTAAATATATTATGAGTTAAATGTCGTTACTAATGGAAGTAGCACCAGCTTGAATTAAATCATATTATTCAACTTATGATTTCTTTTACCCCTTTGTGCAAAGGGATCTCCATTTTTTTTCAAAAAATGGAAATTAAGTGTGGGGTTCACTCTACATTGAACTTCAACAATTCGAACCGTTTATTTTGTAAGTCTCGATTCATAAATCATCTTTGTAAAAATTCAATTCAGTTCGAAACCATTTGTCTATTTAATTATCAAAATAAAATTTCGTTGTTTCTTATATAACAAAGTATTCATTAATTTCTTTTAACCCATTTAGATATCTTAAACATTTCCAATTTAGCTAATATTTTGCAAGATGATCTATGAGGTGCAACTTGAAAAATAAACGATTTGGATTGTTAAACTTCAATGTAGTGTGAACCCCACAATTAATCCTTATTTTTATAAAAAAAAAAATAAAAATCTATTCCCTTAAAGATTTCCTATATCATTCATTTACACTGATGATATATACCTCTGACATAGCAGAAGGAAAACCATTCTTGGATACAGTTCATTTTTTTAACTGAAATCTATTAGTTAATTAGATCAGCGCGAACTGAGGGGAAGCGTGGCTTTGTTTTTGCAATTTTTAAATTTTTTTGTTACAAATCGAACCTTATATTTATTATAATTTTATATTATTTACGTCTTTTTCACTGCTTGAGGAGCTTTAAAGACTTTACCTAAGCTCTTTTAAGGACTTCACCTAATCTCTTGCAAAGACTTCACCTAAGCTCTTTCATACACATGAAGAGGCATCAGAAAGCTAGGGATGTCATCAATATCCTATAGCTTTCTTTTTTTTTTTGAAGAACATCCTATAGCTTTCTTTCATACATATGAAAGGGCATCGATCAGATAACTAATGGGATGTCATCATCCTATTACTTTCTGATGCTGGCCCCCGCAACCTTCTTGGCCAACAAAAAAGACAAATGAAACACTTTCTTTAGTCCCAATGGGGCATGAGTTATTTGATGAAGTAATGTATTACATAATATACTTGATAATAATTTATATCTGCCGTGATGCATTGCATATTCTTGGAAACGTGAACAGCGGGTACTGTCTTCATCAGCCCTTACAACGTTACTCTTCTGCCCTTGTTTATGTTGCATATTCCCAACATCATGCATGATGATCGATGAGTTCATCATTGATATTTCCATATCCCTCTTAAGTGTCAACCAATGTGATGGATCGGTTACTAGCTGAAGTTAATGTTCCTTTTATACACGTGTCTGATGTACAAATTAATGTTTCTCATATGCATATATCTCGGTCTGATGCAGTGGTTTTCGAGCTAGAGTTAATTTTGCAGTTGATCCGTGAGTGTGTCTGTGTTTGCTTCTGAGAACCCAAGGGGTCATGACTAATTTAATTAAAATTATAAACTGAGAAGAAGAGCCGAGAATGTCTCATTAATAAGATCGACAAAATCCCCTAATTTTTTTGGCAACTCAGCCATAGAGCTTGTTCAACATTTCATGCACTAGCTAGGCGCTACCCCTGCTATTACAGATCATGAATATATCATAATTGAAGAGGCTAGGAATAGATCATAATCTCATAATATTAAGGTCGAGGTTGTATAATTATATATATATATATATATTTTTTTTACTTCCAAATTGGCAAATTGCCTGTTCTTTAACTATGAATTGCAGTGTGGCACTGAATTATAAATAGAACTATATATGTATGTATCGTTATGGTGGTGTTGGTGTAATCTTGGAGACAAGGAGGCATTAAGGCAGTATATGTTTCTTCTATCCTTCTGTATGTATACAACACATTCCTGCATTGGAAATTGATGATGGATCAGCTTTACATTATCATGCATGAAACAAATTAATACACAAATTATATTTCAGCTGCGGCAGCTTAATGCTGGAAAAAAACTACAATTCTGAGCACCGATCACGTGCTCCTTTTATGTGTAATACACACACACACACACACACACACACAAAACATTTATGTATCCATCGTGACATGATTCTTGTTGTCTCCTTTAGCTGGTTTTGTGCATGCATTAATTTGCTGTGTAACATTACTGGAGCGCAGTACATTGTCTTCGCACTGTACACTGTATTGTAAAAAAAAAAAAAAAAAAAAAATCATGAATTCTCTGCCTCACACGTATAATAGTAAATTAATTTACAAATATTATCTCCATCCCCTCAGATAAGATAAAAGCTATATAAAATGTTCTCTCTTCCTTCTTAAAAGTTATATATATCATTATCATTAAATTGATATTTTTCTCCCAAACCATAGGAGGGTGCTCAATATAGAATAAATAAACCAACCAATATGGTTTGTAAAAAAAAAGAAAAAGAAAGAGGAAATGAGCATATGCATATCGAATGCAGAATTAAGTTTTAGGAATGGGCGGCTTAATTCTGGAAAAGCTTCGATTCTGCACATCAGACCAAAACTTAATAAAAACCACATGCTCATTTTGTATAAAATTAATATTCACTGAGGACATGATTCTTCTTGTCTGCTTTAGCTAGTTTTCTGCATGCATTAATTTAATTTGGTGTTCTTCGTAATATATATTTTTTTTTTTAAAAAAAAAATGGGTCAACTGGTGGTAAGTCACGGTTATCTATCATTTTCAGGGGCTGGGAAGACTCACAGAGACATTTCAACTTCCCCCCGACCACAATATTAAGGGAGCACAGTACATTGTCTTTGCAGTGTACCTAAATTATCATCATTAATTCTCTGCTTAACACATATATTGTAATTAAAATATACGAATTTCTTCTTCCTATAGTTATAGAAAAACCCCATATTGTTACAGATATTTTATCTTCCTTTAGCTAGTTGAGAGTACTGTTATTAGTACTAAACCAAAATTTTTTTATGTAAACCAACTAATTATATAGAAAAAATGTATTATATATTCATACGTCCAATATTCTCTGCGTATTGGCAGAATATTTATAGTATATCAGTATATCCCATGCATAATTTGAAGTCATGGGGAGGTCCACGTCGTCCAAAAAAATTCAAGTGTAGAATTTTGCCGTCCCATAAGGCCAATTAGATCGCATGCCACAAGGTTTAATAGTCATGCAGACGATGAAATGATGTGGTGATCAACGGCTCAGCTGGATAGTTGACCCTTTTAGCTTGGCAACCATGGAAATTTTAGCACAGGACACCCTACGTTTAATGGTGTGGAATAAGTAAAAGATGCTAGCTACCTTCTTCATTCGCTTAAATAATAGTAGGCAAATGGCACTGACTTCGGTGCCAACTATCAAATGCCACCCTGCAACAATTGACGTCCATGTCCTCTGTAGCTTTGTTGCGACAAACACCACCATTTCTCTATCGGTGTACAAAGGAAAAGTTGAAGTATGATACGTTCAATCTTTTTGTTTACTTATTATTTAAAAGGGGGCCGTTGAGCACGCATTCCATTGTCTAATCCTATTATTAATGTCACATGCTTGGATAAAAATTTAATCCTTTTGCCACCAAGTCCTTCAAGAGACAAACTTGCAATCATGTCCTCCATTTCCATAATATACTTCCATCTTCCATTGCTAGAGTTCTTGAACAGCCTACTGGAATACAATGTTAAATTATATATTAATAAATAAAAACTTGAAAGATAATAGCACATTAATCATACTGAGTTGAAATAATAAAAACTAATACTAAATTCTACCTCCATAAGAACTTTATGTTTGAATAAATCACTTATTCATTAGTCGACGTGCTCTCAATAATGTTTGCATTTTTCTTTTGCATAGTGGATTATCTCTTGTTTGCATTCACATAGGGTTTCTTGAGTCAGCAAGAATCAAAGTTTTTATTATATATAGGTGGCATAAACCTATGTCTATAAAATATACTCCTCAATCATTCAAATTTATAGGATGCATCACGTTAGGTTTTTTTTTTTTTTTTTTTTTTTTTGGTGGGGTGGTGCCAGGGGGGCGAGTGTTTTTGGGTTTGACAATATTCTTAAGTCCAATCACTTTGAGCTAAATTGCATTTTGATCAATATTTGTGAAGTTTGGTGTATTGATTGTGGCATTTTGTTGGTTTAATTTTTTTAATTTTTTTTAATTTTTTATATCAATTAAGAATTCAAATTCAGAAAATATTCGGATACTCAGGTATCGCATGACCAGTAGCTAACCGGCTCCGTAGGTTGATTAATGAAAGGTCATGCACATTTTCGTCCTTAGGTAAAATGAGTTATAAAGTTTTACTAAAAGGAGCTAATTGGCTCCGTAGGTTAATTAATGAAAGGTCATGCACATTTTCGTCCTTAGGTAAAATGAGTTATAAAGTTTTACTAAAAAGAACTAACTGGCCTCGTAGGTCGATTAATGAGTTATAAGGTTTTACTAAACCAGGTAATGTTTTAGATTTTATTTTTGCGTCCTATTTGATTAAGTACATTATTATGTTTGTACCTAGGGACCTATATCAAAATTTAATTTAACACCAAAACTGTATAAAGGAAGTCATTTTATTTAAGGATGACAATCTAATTTTCTGGTAATGAAGTTCAATTTTTATCTAATAAGTCACAATACCTACATAATTCCATTATAACAAACCAAAAAAATTATTTGCATTCAGTAATTAACTTTAATTTGTTTGTAAATTGTAAGTGTTAGAATCCAAAATCTACGATATTCATAGAGAACGTACTTGGTGCAAATCTTACAAAAAACACAAAATAAGCTGACAAGAATAATCAATATTACGTATTGAATTCCATAATTTTGGAACAATTGTACAAAATGGTTCTTGAACATGGTACAATCCTGTAAATGTCGATGCCATGACTAACTTTACAGATAACTTACACAGCTTCAAGGTGTAAGGACTTTGAGTAGAGACACTCTATGTCGCAATAGGTATCTGAAGAATATTTCCAATCCAGCATCAAGGCTGGATATGCTGCAATCCAGTGTGTCTAGTCTCCACTGAACCACCAGCACATCAATCTTGGCATCACTCCTGATATTTCCATGGAGTGAGCAAAGAGCAACATCAACACTTCCCACTTCATTGTAAACCGTTTGGCCTTTTTCTGTTGCTGCAAATTTCGCCGCCATTAACTTTGACACCAATGACCATTTGCTACCCGTTGTGCTAGCCACCGGCGTGGATAGAAACATGAAGAGGGATTGAAATATGGAAATTGTTACATCACTTAACTCTCTTAACAATTTAAGCACTAATAGTACACCGTGGTCACAATCCAAGAGATGGAATGACCCAAGATCTGTTTCCATTTTCTTCAACTCTCTGAGGCTCTTTGCAATGCTTTTCTTTGCCTTTTTGCGGAAGCAAATGTAGGAATGAACGGTGGTTTCGATGCTTGAATCTCCAGTCCTCCTGCGCAATGCGGATTGGATGTTCTGGACATGTTCCTTCATTGTCAAGAGAATGTCTCTTGCACTACCACATGAGTCTAGCAACCCAACTGACCCGTCAAGTGCTTCTTCCACAATTGCTTTGCACTGTTGGTGGCGAAGTGCTTGTTGGGTCACTGGAGAGAGAACTATTAAGTATACAAGTTAGCAATACAGTTAGTAAGTTGGTTAGAGTAGTTAGGCTCTCCCTTATAAAAACAGTTGTGTAACCTTCATTCTATCAATCAATACAAAAGCATATTTCTCTCTCTAAATCTATCTCTCTGTAAAACTCTCTGTGTTGATCTTTCTTCTCTTCAGCTTTCTTCTTGATTTTCTTTCGATTTCCAAACATTACAATGTAGCTAACATGGTATCAGAGCCACCAGGCTCACGCCATTGATTCTGGTGGTTCCATTTCTCATTAATTTCCCTCTGTTTCTAGCTTATTTTCTTTCCAAATTTCTAGGTAGATTTTGCTTTTGATTTTTTTTTTTTCCAGTTCTTGCTGGGTTTGCGAACTCAGTCCTGAGTTTCTTGAACTGGGTTTGGATGAGAGTTGGGTTTGCGGATCTGGGTCGAGATTTTGAAGAACGGTGTACCAGTCAGGTGGGTTTTGGCGGTTGGCGGCGAGTAGGTTGTCGATGACGTCAAGGATTTGGTCAAAGCCGGAGTTGTAGGGGTCAGATTCTCAACTTCTTAACGTCGTTGGGCTGTGAGAGAACCTCCGCAGTCATGGTTCGAGATTGTAGAATCAAGCTCAAATAATCAGAGGATGGTGACATGTGACATCTGCGAGGTGTGGCAACATACATGCTGCAATGTTTGTATACTCAGATTATACATGGTTTTTAGCCATCGATTTGAGAACTTCTCTGGTCTCATTGGCCAAAGTTGAAAGATCTCGCTCCACCGTCGGTCTTTTGATTTCTTGGTGCTTGAAAACAAGATGTGACTGAGAATAAAGTTTGCTTTCTTTGCACTATTGATTATCTGCTTCTTCATTCATCTTGGTGGTGCAGCTTTCTGAATTCTATTTTCTGGGATTTTGATCTGTGCTCTGTTCTCTGGTATGGAAGAATGTTTAGACCTATGTGCAGCCCAAGTGTTTGACGAAATGCCAAGCTCAGAATTTTCGAGAAGGTTTAAGTTTTTCAGCCACTTCTGCTTAATTTCTATGTTTGTGATATTTGGATTCAAGAATATTGGTTATTGATGGATTGTGCAATTTGTATAGTGGTGTCCAATTCTTTCTCTGCTTCACTGATGGTCTGCAAGGTTATTGGGTTTGATCTTTCTGCAACTCTTGATATATTTGGAATATTGCGTGTGAATTCTTGCATTCTGGTATGTACAATTTTGTGGTTGTTCCGATTGTGGTTTGTGTCAAAATTCAGAACTGTAATGTCTAAGAAGATTGTTCAGCAGCTAACTGAGGAGTGGTGCAGTATTTTCCTTATTACAGCCTATAATGTCGAGTCTAACCAACTCAATTGTTAGCATGAATCTATAGTAAGTTCGGTTATACGATGAAGTTTGATGAAGTTGTAAACGGTAAATCCCACAAAGGGTAATTCCATGATGTAAGTAGGTAAATCCCACGAAGGGTAATCCTACATAGATGTTGATTTTCTGTTGTTGAAATTGTGAAGGTCGATGCCACTGTTAAGAGTAGTTGTATTTTGGTAAAATCCACAAAGGGCGATCCCGTGGTGCTATAGTTAAGGCCGATGCCACACTATAGTTTGTTATTTTTCTGTTTAAAGGCCGAAGCCAATGTTAAATAAAGTTGTTGACGGTAAATCCCACGAAGGGTAATCCCGCAAGAAGTTGTTATAACCGGCCTGAGGGTGTGTTACAATTTTATAAGAGGCTGTTCTTCGATTGAAACTCCTGCGAGAGGCAGATGAATATTGAATTTTTTTTTTGGATGGACAAATTGTATCTGCAAAAGGTGCAAACTTCTATTTGGTTTGCAATAGCTAAAGAGATGTAGACATCAATTTGTGGGGCTGAAATTCTTTGTAAAGAACCAATATGAAATAGCGCAGTTTAGTGATGCCAATCAATGCTGGAGAAGTTGGAGTTAATAGCAAAGAGATGCTAAACAATGATGGACAGGTTGAAGGCAAAAGCAATGTGATGTCAAAAGATTCTCATGCAATTGCTAGAATCATAGCCTAGGTTGATAAGTTCATAGAGAGGGTTGCTGCTTTGGAAGTGGCTGTGGCTGGCGGGACCAAGGTTTTCGATAAGGAATTTGGTGTGTCAAAAGAGTTGCTCATGAGACTTTGGTGTGGGATTGCAAGATTGCAGATGGTTCAACATTGTGTTCAGTGATTGTAGATGTTCTTCCAATCTCAAACTGGATTTCCCCAGTTGAGATTGAGGGGGAGTATTAAGTATACCAGTTAGCAATACAGTTAGTAAGTTGGTTAGAGTAGTTAGGCTCTCCCTTATAAAAACAGTTGTGTAACCTTCATTCTATCAATCAATACAAAAGCATATTTCTCTCTCTAAATCTATCTCTCTGTAAAACTCTCTGTGTTGATCTTTCTTCTCTTCAGCTTTCTTCTTGATTTTCTTTCGATTTCCAAACATTACAATGTAGCTAACAAGAACAAGTTCCTCGATGCAATTGTACAACTCTGCTAGGCCAGACAAGCCCACCAGAAGATCCTCACTCACTAGAGAACTTGAAAATTTCGAAGTCTTTAACTTGTTTAAATCTGACTCAATTTTTTGGGACTTAGGGTTTAGCCTAGATGGTAGGCTAATAGACCTCACAGGTACTATGAATGCCAATGAAACCGCCATTTGCTTTTACAAAAAGTCTCTAATATTTTTACACTTGGAAACAAACCCTGAATTGGAAAACCTCAACTCTCAAAATCTCTATACATAACGCAGAGGGGCGTTGAGGGGGAGAGAAAGATGTAGTCGTACAGGGCTTCAAATTTTAAGGGGCCCCAAATTTTTGCCATCTAATATTATGCAATAATGTTCTATATTTAAAAATTGTTTTTGTTAGCACTTTAAAATCTCATTGTGCACTGCTTAAAAGAGTAAATTTTTTCTATTCTAAATATAAAAATTTGGAGTGTAATGAGATATTTTAGGTATCAATAGTAACATCCTAAAAAGAGATATTTTTCAATTTTATTATATAATAATGTTATATATTCAAGTGAAACTTTAAAGTTAGAGTTTTGAAGTTTTTTTTTCATGTTTGGTTGTAGAAGATTGAAATGCTTTTGATCATTTAGTGAATGTTATATTTGTAGCTCTTTTTACTTATAATTAATGACATTTGTAAATTTGCAATAAGTGAGTGCTAAAATTTGTTTTGATTCAAGTGATTGGTTTCTGGCATTAATACATTGTCCTACTTTTCTAAAACTATCTTAGGAATGAGCCCTTTTATAAATTTCACACAGGGCCCCCAAAATCTCAAAAGACGGCCTTGATATAACGAGTTCCACTTTGGTGCTATGAGTATTGGATAACCTCAATTCACGGGACTACAATAATAATAATAATCGAAACCAATTCAAGTCATCCAATACTCATAGTATTTAATGTTACGTGGTATGGAAGAATTTTCTAGTGAATTTATGTCCTCTTTTGGTGACAACCCGGTACTGCCTGCATGTGATTGTAATCTGCTTCGCCCTGCAAGAAGACCCTGCATCAAATTTGGCTAACAAGGCACAAATTCTATTTCTATTTTTTTTTTCTCAGTTTATGAACTTAGGTCTGATTTATTTTTGGGGTTTGGACCCTCAATCTGCAAACAGTAATGTACAGGCCGTGTCAGGCTTATGCCTCCTTGCCTCCCCCAATCATTTACCAGCCCATTCTCTCTCCTCTAATTTTATGGCACCTGAGATAAAAGTTACGCGATTTATTTTACGTATTATAATAAAGGTAACTGACATGGTTGATATGTCACACTTTTAGATATATTAGAAAAAAAAATTCACGTATTATAATTTAAGTAAAACAATAACGTCACGTGACCTTGTTTCAAATCCACCGCACAATCCACAATCAGAACTCAATCATATATATATATATATATATATTCGTTTGGGTGGATTGTTTATGAAACATGAAAGGCTGGCAAGTGCTTTGCTGGTCATTTGAGAGAAACAGAGAAAGAAGGTATCAGTAGGTTAAAATTCAAAAGAAAACAACAACACTAAGACAAGATATAAGCATAAATCTATAGCCCTCAAATACCAGAATCTAGCTAGGGTTTGCTGACTATAGTAATAATAATTGTAATTAGATAGGCTCTTCTAACCAAAATGGCCTGGTCCATCTAATCAAATAATCACTGGATTTCCTTATCATTTTGTCCACGATATACACCCAATTTTTAATTCACAGACAATGAAACATTTTGACACTTTTTTAATTATCCTTTTATTCTGAAACCAAAGCAATGATAGTAAACATTTTTGGGTTAAGAGGGGGCGGCCGGCTGTTGGCAATTAGTGTCACAAAAGAGCCTAAACCGCAGGAGTTAAAAATGCCCCATGTAGTTTTTGTATTACATGTCTTGCAGAACCTTGTTGGCAGGACGCAAACCTAGCAAACCCTAAATCAAAGACAAAGAGTAATGCTACACTGTTTGTTGCATTTTTTAGGGCACCCTTTTCTGCCTTCGCCTAATTGTGCATAATTTTGTTCACTGAATAAACAACATAATAAGTAAATGTGGGTTATGTTAATTGGCCAAACTAATTCCTCTCTCTTGCAACTTAGAGTAGTTAAAATCTCATCCTGTCAAAAGTAAAATATTAAAAAAAGGCCCAGTTGGACATCTGGAGACCATGTTTTCCCCAAATCCCCGTTGTTACACACTAATTTCTTGGTTTGATGGCGAGTACGCTTCATGTAGTTGTATTTCTCGTGATTTAAGCTTGTAGATTGTTTTACGTTTTGGTAGTTTTGCGGTGTGGGTTTGACATGAGATAAAGCTTACTTCTGGTAATGTGAGTTGTTTAGTTGTTTTTATAGCTTTTGCCTGTAGATTGTATTGATCTTATTGTTGTACTGACAATGTTGATGTAATTTTGAAGTCTATCTAACGAAATTTATTCTAATTAAAAAAAATAAACGATGGAGTAAAGTTATAGGGTTCAATTGTGGTAACAAGTTGAAGGAGATGTATCATGTACCTTGACCTGACAACAGGTCGTATTTGTCGTTTTTGTATCATACCTGTTATCTTAATGGATCGTGTTATGTCAAACCCATTACCATAATGAATTCTTAACATATGACTTAATAACAATCCAATTCGTTAACTGACCGTGTTATCTCGTATCAGGTTAATTAGTTCATAATTAATATAATGTACTATCGAGGAACCAGGATTAGAGAATTAGAACATATTAAGAGTCATGATATCCCACTCAATTGTTAATGCAAATCCGAACAGACAAATACAATTTGGGGGCTTATTCTATTGCTTTTCATAAAATTCAAAGTAATACAAGATCGCAAAAGAGTAGACATGGTCCTGTCATATGGATAACCTTTCTTAAAGGGGATTTTTGTACTTGTATGGATAGTAGCAGACAATTACAGCTCCACAGGAGTAGCTGTTCAACAACAAATAGCAGATAGTGTCTGGTGCAAAATCCGGGGGAGAGGTTTGTCTGGGACCATGGTTAGTTTGTTGGAGGATATCTGTCAAGAGGTAAAATGTTTGTCTGGAAGTGAATACAAAGTGGTGGAATTGAGCTTCCGGGGATTATTAATGCCGGTCATTTACTCTGGCTCCACTGGTTACTCAAACTGCTCCTGTAAATTGTAATTCTTCGCAGCATCACGAAATCTACTACAGATCTTACAGCCTATGGCTAGACATATGAAACTTCTCGTGGCTTCGTGTCCAGGGCTTTCCAATTGGGGATCTTGTCATTGTTGCGGTTCATCAGAAGAGTCATTTGACCTGGTGCAGTTAAAATCGATAGTGTTAGTGTGCTAGATGTAGCCTTCTTGCTTCATCAACGACGACTGTTGACAACTCAAACAACCTACAACAGCCAACGAAACTGGCCGGCCAGAATAACAGCCTTACTTGCATAATAACAGACAAAGAAAAATCAGAATTCACAATTCACATGTCTAACCTTATTTTGAGAAGAGCATATCTAGCCGGATTACACATATAATATAGCACAAGTAGAGAAAACCATCATGATTAGATTTGGAGTAAATATAAGCATCAATGTGCAACAGGTTCTACTCCAACAACTCCATTGCAGCCAAGACATCCCCTTTCCGACACATTCCGTTCATCAATGAAGTGTATGTCACCGCATCCGGGAAATGACACGTTTCGACCATGATGCCCAAATACTTGTTAGCCTCCATAATCCGCCCACATTTCGATAACCCAAAAATCAAAGTATTTTATGTAACAAGATCGGGGTCCACACCCTTCTCCTTCATTTTCTTCAGTACATCAGCTGCCTCTTTGCCTCTTCGGAGATGTGTGGACCGTCGAATATGTTAGACAAATAAGGAATATGGTTAGAGTCCTTGTGTAATTGTATATAATATTATTCACTAGCCGTCCTACAGCCTAGTCGTCCTACAGCCGTCAAGTCGTCCTACAGCCGTCCTACCTTGTCCTACCTACACACTAACCATCCTATAGCCGTCAAGTCGTCCTACAGCCGTCCTACCTTGTCCTACCTACACACTAGGACGGCTACCTTGTCCTACCTACACACTTGTATCATGTATATATATCCTTGTAATCTTGTAGAGAAAGATAATGAGAAAAAAAGCATTCTCTTCCATTTTTCCACATTCATGTATCAATAACAAATATATTTTTTAGCCTACATACCTTTTTCTACATGGTATACAGAGCAGGTTTATAACTCTAGCCCTAATTTTTTTTTTTGGCAGCTTTCTCTGCCGTTCCCATGGCTGACTCTTCTTCTTCCGATGGTGTTTTTTCCCTTCATCATTCCGACCACCCGAATCTTGTCCTTGTATCCAAGAAGTTGAATGGTGATAACTACACATCCTGGGCCCGTGGCATGCAGCTTTCCTTGAGTTCCAAGAATAAACTTGGTTTCATCACTGGCGATATCCAAGAACCTTCTTCCTCCGACGACCCTGATGCTCACGCGACTTGGCGTCGTTGCAATGACATGATTCTCTCTTGGCTTTTGCATTCCTTGGAACCTGACCTTCAAGAATCTGTGTTTTTTTCCACCTCTGTCCAAGCTGTATGGGATGATCTTCGCGAACGCTTCTCTCAGAGTAATGCTCTACGCATCTTCTAACTCAACCGGGAACTTGCTACAATTTCTCAAGGTTCTTCTTCTATCTCCGCCTATTTTACTCGCTTGAAAGCTCTCTGGGATGAGCTTCCTTCTTATAATGATGGCTGCACGTGCTCTTGCAACGCCAAGCATGACCGTCAACAACTCATGCAATTTTTAATAGGCCTCAACGAATCCTTTGCTGCTGTTCGTGACCAGATTCTTTTAATGAATCCCCTTCCCACTGTTCGTCAGGCCTGTTCCTCGGTGTCTCAAGCTGAAAAACAATGCTCCCTGGGCGTTTTCCGCTCTGTCGATCAACCTGCTGCCATGGCTGTTCGTGGCCCGTCCCGTCCCTCCTCTGCTCGTCCTCCCCTCCACTGCACCTACTGCAATTTTGATTATCATACCCGAGACACCTGCCATAAACTTCATGGCTATCCCGTTGGCCATCCCCTTCATGGCCAACCGTGGTGACCACCGCGCCGTGCCACTGCTTCCAGTTCTTCCCGTAGCCATGCA